GTCCTGGGAAATGTTTGCACGTTAGAGAATGTACCCATGTACTTAAGAATGTCGATTTGGCTCTGCTAAGTAAGATGATAGCCTCTCCCCATTGTGTTCAGAGGTCAAGACCTGAGATTCTATTCAGTGCAATGTTTTTCTTCCTTAATGTGAATCTAGACTGAGAAGCTGCCAACAGACGTCCCCAAATCCCATCCAGCTCGCAGTTGTATTTGTTTGTCTAACATGATATGTGAAAACAACCGGCGTCTATATTTAACATCCTGTCTCGATGCTCCGCCTCCTTTAGGAACTAAACTCAGAGGTCAGACAGCACTAGAGTGCAATGCCCAGATCTGCAGGATGCAAATCTCCTGGGAACTTGTTAGCCATGCAAATACTCAGAGTCTATCCCAGACCTGCCGAGCGAGGGCTGTGCACCCAGACCGGCTGGGTAGGACTGTGCACCCAGACCGGTAGCCAGTCTTTTAATAAGCCTCTCTGGTAATTCCGGCTACAGTCACGTTTTAAACCTACTGGTTTACAATGGGTAGAAGCCAAAGAGCAGCTGCACTGATGAAAACGGCTCATGGAGATTGTCAGGAGGCTCCCATCCCCTCAGACTTCTCTGCATCACTTCTGTGCAGTGTAGTTATTAACACACCTCGGAAGGTCTTGCAGATTTAAGTCTACAACCTGTATATAGCTTATGTCATCTCTGATAATGAGTGACTGTCCTTGCAGCTGGGGCAGTTATAAGCAGTTAACTGAGATGTGTACAGGGGTGCTGAATATTGCAGCGCCTTTTCATGGTAGGGAATCCCAAGGGAGGCTGGATGGAAACTTAGATAACCAAAGGCTTTTCCAGACGACTAGAGAAAGTCAGAGGGCAAGAGTGTGTGCAGAGGTGTTACTGAAGATAGATTAGGGCGGTGCAGCAGTTGTGTCTGAGTGACCTTCAAGTCCAAGGTCTACATTAGAACAGAAGAGATGGGAGTCAAAGAAGATAGTAATGATGGTCAAAGGACAGCTTCCTCTGAATGAGCCCGGCGCGAGGCGCTGTCGGGGGTTTCAAGGAAGATGTAGTTATGGTGAGAAGTCTAAAACCTACAGTGTGCTCCCGAAAGATACCTTGTCCAGGCTTTTACTCAGATGATGAAGCAGCCATATTTATTAGAGAGTTTATTTATTTTTGTCATCCTTGGTTTTCATTTACTTAGTGGATACGGAGACCCCCCAACCTTGCAGTAGATTGTGAATGCAGGTCCCCTGGGAGTCAAAGGAAGAGAGTAAAGAAACATGACATTCACCATCTCCCCTGAAGCTCCTCAGAGTGGTCAGACATTTCGGGGAGGTGAGATGAAGTCCTGGAGGGCCAAGTATTAGCAAACACTATGTGACCATTGGCCCTCTGGACAGCAGGGATGTGTGGAGAACAGGATGGCTTACATTCCTGTTTCTCAGACACACTGCACTCCCAGAGGAGAGTTGATTGTCAGGGCGCGGGAAGGCTGGTGAGTCAGGCTGTGTCAGGAAGATATGACTGTTGTTTCACTGGACGGGATGCTCTGTGCTATGTTCTTAGTCCAGCCACAGAGGAAAGGTGGAAGAGTTTCCTCCGCACGTCTGCCTCGCGAAGCATCCAACTTTCTTAAGGACTAAATTAAAAATTCAATTTCAGCCAGGCATGGGAGAGCACGATTTTAGGTCCAGCACTTCGGTGGCTGCAAAGGGTAACTACAAGTTCAAGGGCAGTCTGGGCTCCAGAGAAAATTCAAGCTTTGAGGTCAGACTGGCTCATAGAGGATAACCCTGTCTCAAAAACAAACAAAAACAAGAAAACAAGTAACATCAGCACCTCTGGAATTATATCTTTGCTAGTATTTCAAGTGAGCAGTTTCCGTAGAGACTGACCTTCCCTGCTGGCTCCTTAAGAGACCAGACCCTCCTCCTCCCCTTACCTTCTCAGGCCTCATGCTCTACTCATTTGCACTCAACTTTATCTGCCATAAGACATGCCATGCTCACAACCTCACTGTGAGTTAGCTGGTGATTTTTTTCCTAGATTCTCTGAGGAAATGGCCTTGCTCATAGCTGAAGCCCTACCATTGGAAGTGTGTCTGGTGCAGAACAAACTCCCATTCTGCAGATACATGCTGGAGGTAGCATGAGCTGATGTCTACTTGTAAACAGTCTGGACAGCATTCAACTTTCAGAGGAGTCCAAGTTCTACTGTGCATCCTACATCATGACTGTTCGGTCTCAAACCCTGGAACAAATGGCTGAAGTGCCTTTTTAACATATCAACGTGGACCTGGTAACCAGGTTCTCCCAGCATCCCTCAGTCCTTACCTATTACAGGGTATGGCTGGCATACCCATACACAATTCTCCACCCCAACTCTCTAGCCCAGGGATTGTGCTGCCCATCCCTATATAATCCAGACATTTTGGTTACTTGCCCTGCTTTTACTTTTTGCCCTTTTGGCTGCTGCACCTGGTTCCCCTCTCTCTAATCTCTCATTTACCCTCCCCCCTCTTCTCACACGGCCCATGGTCATGTCCACTTTGGACTCTCCCAGATGGCTCTGCTTCTGGGATATGCTCTCCTTTTTTCCCCCTGCAATAAGCTTTCTCCTCCACTGTACATAGAAGCAGTCATATACTTTCCTTTTTCTTTTCTTGTTTTCATCTAACAACACACTCTTTCCTTCAGAATGAGTGCTATGCAAGACGCCTGAGATTAGGTACAAGGTGCGACGGACTCAGAAAATATTAACAGCCAGAAATATGGAAAATATGCTTTAGAAGGAAAACAGTGTCTGCAAATTTTAAATTTCTGGCTGTTGCATTTTCATGGGAGGGGGAGTAATTCTATAGAAATTTGTATCTAGAGGACGTGAAATATACTATATGACTTCATTAATGATGCCAGGAACTTCATGTAGCTGCTGAAAAACAGAATGAAGTAACTTTTGGAGATCCCATACTGCTGGCGACCATAATGGACTTAGAAATTTAAATCTGTGGGAAATTAGTGTGTGAAAACCACAGAGAGGGGGAACTTGGACATTTTGAAAATATAGCTGCACCAGGGCCCTAAGCAACAGAAAGTTTACAGATCTGTGTGCAACGGAAGTAGGTCTGCATTCAATCTCAGTAAAGACCTGTCTGATAGAACATTTATTAATGTCTTTATTCGAAATACAATGACTACTCAGACTGGTCATTTTAGAAAGCAGAACATGGGTGTGTTGGAGGAGAGCAAGTTTTATGATGTTTTGCAAATGCAAATGTTTTGTTTCCCTGCAATCACCCACTGTCCACTAAAATTCACTCAATACTGAGAAATGGGGTTATGCAACCCAATGAGTTAACGACAGGGCTCTAAAATGGGGAGGAAGGCAGAGCCAGGATGATGGCAGCGGGGACAGAGTTCCCTGCCCCTGTATTCTCTCCAAGTGTAAATTATACACTGTTGTTACACAGAGAAAACAGGTTAGGTTTTAACACTCTTGAAAAACGTTAACTTTCCACACCCCAGAGTATTATATCTAGTTGGTGTTTTATTCATTCTGTTGTAAGAACTGAAGTTGAGGTTACTGAAATGATCAGAAATAAACTCCTGCCAAAAATCATTAAGAGATGTCGGAGCAGGCCAGCACAATCACGTCACTCATACAGCTGTCAGGGCACTAGACATCAAACAATCATAGACCACAAGACCCTGACAGCACACGCTGACAAGGAGCGACCATGGAGCTGTGATCTGCGCTTTGCATGTTCTGTGAGGACACACAAGTGATATGCAGACCCCTAAGTATCCTTAGATCCATGTCCTTAACCCCTGATGGCGATGGAAAGTCACTAGTGTTCTGTACTACAAAGTATAAACATGGATGGGGGTGGGGCCCTTCTGGTTGATGTGTTCATTTCAGCGCTTTCCAAATCATCACTTTAGAAAGCAGTTCTCAATCTGTGTGCCGTGGTCTCTTTAGGGGGTAGCATACAGATGTACTGAATATCAGATACTTACATTTCAATCACAACAGCAGCAATATTACAATTATGAGGTAGAAATGAAATAATGTTATGGTTGGGGGGTCACCACAACATGAGAAACTGTACTAAGGGGTCACAGCATTAGGAAGCCTGAGAACCTCTAGAGGAAGTGTCACACTTGAGTCCAGGGTGTCTTAGAATTTACAGCTTCTTGTTTGTTGTGTATCCTCACTCTCTCTGTGTACATCTGGAAACATCTAGAAGGTCGTTTTTTTCTTTTTTCTTTTCTTTTCTTTTCTTTTTTTTCTTTTCTTTTCTTTCTTTTTTTTTTTCCGAGACAGGGTTTCTCTGTAGCTTTGGAGCCTGTCCTGGACCAGGCTGGCCTCACACTCACAGAGATCTGCTTGCCTCTGTCTCCCGAGTGCTGGGACTAAGGGCGTGTGCCACCACCACCCTGCAAACCTTTTTAAGTAGAATCATAATTAGTTACTAAGGGAAAACCTGTTTTAAAATCACCATTCCAGTCTATAGCTGAATAAATATTGACTATCTAAATTTTTATTAAAAATGTATTCCCTATTTCACATACTAATTAAATTACTACACAACCGCCGGTAATCCGTGCAGTGTGTGTGAGGGAAACCAGTTTAAAATTGTGTTGAAGTTGAGCTTCCTCGGGGTGGGGGGGAGTTAAAAATGGAACTGGAGTTAGAAATGGAGGGAGGCAGAATCAAAGTTAAGGCAAAAGGAAGGACGTTCACCCGGTGAAACGAAATGTAGCTTTATCTACACTTTGTTTCGCAGAGGAATTTTATCTAATGCCCTATCCCTAATGAAAACAATCTCTGTTACCGAACGTCAATGCTACTATTGAAAAATGTTTCAAACACATGGATACTTGGCAGTTGGATTATTATTGCATCAAACTTTTAAACAAATTGAAAGTCTTCCACATGGGTTAAACAATGTCATTAAAAATCAGATGGGGACAACGGCGTTCACTGTCGCCACCTACCATACCTTGGCCACTTCCTCTTGGAAAGCCACGAGATTCAAGTGCGAGATGTTCACCAGGTCAGGCCCATACACCACTGTTATCATGCGCTGCTCCAGGTGCCCAATGTTCCCAACATCCAGGAGTTCGCGTAACTTGGGGTCCTGGATAAGAAATGTTAAGAAGAGTGGAATATTAGGAAAGATTCTAACAAGGTAGCGCACGTTTACATGAACAAGAAGTAGAGCTGCCTTTTCTTAAGACGAGCTGGTGTGAATGGAAGCATTCCTCTCTGCAGTGGCGAGGGAGGTTGGTCACTTGCTGAAGAGCTGTTGGAGAGACTTCCCAGTTTAAGACCCATGGTTTTCAGTGAAGTGGTCTTTCTATCACACAACCATCCTGCAATGCATGTGTACGTGTTAGAATTCTCCTCTATTTCCCCCAATCATCTGACAGGTTACACATTGACATGAAATGTCTTGTTCTTCTCCTCCATTTATGGGCACATTAAAACAGAAAAATGAAATTATTACGGAATAAAAATGTTCATGCCTACTGTAGTCTGAACAACTCAATAGGTTATGGAAGCATTTGAGTTGGTGCTATTGGAAAGTAGTGCAAAGTTGGCGGGTGAAGGTGGGGTGTTTAGCTGGAGTCTTCTGATCATTGAGACTGTCCCTGTGGAGGTGACATTGAGTCCAGGAGTGATAGCTCTTCCCAGCCATAGATTGGAACCCTAAAACATGCACTGAATGAAGTAAGCCTTTTGTCTATATTAACTGATTATCTCCAGTATTTATGACAATGAGAGGAAGATACCTGGGGCGGAAACATAGCCAAGCCTCTCGCCATGGGCTTTCCTCTGCACCAAGTACAGATGTAAAGAGAAAGGATGTCAGCGGAGCTTTGCACAGGTTATTTTAAGTCCCTCATTGGTTTGTTCTGGGATGTGGACTTAGGGGATGGCTGCCATCTCTTTCTGAGCAAGCCTCATTCTTTGGGAACACTCTGAGTAAGTATCCCTTGGAGATACAGTTTTTTGTTTTTGCCTCCTTTTTCTTTTTCTTTTTTTTTTTCTTTCTGGGAAAGGGATGTTTCCAAACTCTCAGAACTCAAAATAAAACCGAAAATAGGGCTTAGTCAACTTGGCTGCATTTATTTTCCTCCCATAGGACAGGCCCTGTAGGACATTTCAGTCCATGCAGAAAATTAGCATCAAATCAATCACTTAGCAAATTTGCTGCCGGCTTCTGAGCAAGGACCATGCTTGCATTTCTATTTATTTAGCAAAACACTATGCCAACAGGGCCTGATTACTGAGGCTGGGTTATTCTGGCCTCCTTCAGTGGGGGGTTATAAGCCCGTACAATGAAATAATGAATTAAAAAAAAAAACAGAATGAAAACAAGCCAAACCTTTCTAGTTAAGTTACTCACTTGGTATCATTAATAAAACTTTCTCCTGTGTGGCTGCACAAAGAGGCACACTTTCAAGTAAGCTATGGAGAAAGGAACTTCATTTCCAAGCTTGCCCAGTAGAGTCAAAGATTTAATTTCCTGACACGGTGAGAGCTTAACAAGGCGAGGGAGCCTCCTGGAAAGAGGAGCTGCTTCCCTCAAAGCTATCAATTCCATAACAAACAAAAGGAGAGGGATAGAGACAACTGATTCCCAAATGAAGACCACAAAGTGGGGGGTTTCAGCACTATAGAATAAATAGATTGGAAACACATGCTTAAGCAAATTAAACAATTACCCCAGCTGTTCTGGAAATGATTAATTACATTATAGTTTTCAGACACCATAGAGGCAAGTTAAGGGAGTTAAGTGTATTTGATCAATACTTGTTGTATACATGGAAGAGAATAATCAGTCTCAGAAACCAACTAAAGCTTGCATAATTCTCATGTGTGGTCAAAACACTTTTGCTTACTCACTAAAAGGCTATTGGTTAAGGGTTTCTACTTCCCAGGATTGCAGGGAAGAGGTGTGGGGATCAGGGGTTCGTGTGACTTATCACTGAAATAGAGGATCTGGAGGTATGTAAAGTCTCTCCAAAGGAGGTGTCCAAATAAAAAATACAGTCAAAGAACTTCCAAAATTCTGTGAAGAACAGCATTACTATCAGCTATAGTCAGCAAGAATCTAGAAGAAACATGTCGTCTCTGTAAGTTTTACTTCTAATGGCTGTTGTTATTTCTTTAAACATCCCTTGGTCTTTTTGTAACTAGAGGTGGTGTCTGGATTTGGGTGGATGAAAGAGGTTGTGAAAAGGGAATTGATAACTGAAGCTGAATATTGGTGAGTCTATCTGAAACTGTTCACAGTTCTAACATAGAATTTTAAATTGATTTTGAAAGTGAGTGAGAAGAGCAATTGGATTTGAGATATATTTTATCAATAGAAATCCTAATCCTTTAAAATCATGTAGTTCAGGATATAAAGTGAGAAATGATTGAAAATATGTAACAAGTAAGTTGTGTCTAATGTGGATTTTTTTTTTTACTTTCTCTTAGATTAGACCATTGCTCATTTTAATCCCTCCTACTAACACTACAATGTCTTATAGTGGAACACTTTATTTTCTCAGCAGATCTATAATACGTGGGGCATTTGCTGATGAAGACACCCATCTCTTCAAGTACCACAGGTGATCCCCAGCAGCTTTAGACGGTCAGACTGTGAAAAGCAATAACCTGAAAACAGAACCACACTGACTTCACAGATGAGGACCTCACAGATGAAATTATTTCAATGAACTCAGAGGTCGGAAATTGTGATAATTCTGGACTCCAGTACTGTAGGTCTGGGAAAATGAACAGGTGCATTTGAAAAACAAACATGCACAGTCAAAACTGTGCTAAGGACAAAGTCCTGTTGATAGTTTGTCTGAACTACGTTGTCCCCTGTCCCTTCTCCCAAGCAACTTTAAGTGAATCTCAAAATCCTTGATAAGTTCCCAGAGACTCTTTGACTCCCCAGGTTCTAGGGCACTTAAACACACTGATATGCCGACTGTAGATGCTTTTAAGGAGAACAAGCCATCCCTCTGCTCTGCAAAGTTGTTTAACTTTTCCAAGAGTATTAAAGGATACAGGGAAAACTAAGAGATGGGGTGAGCTTGGAACGTTACATTTTTCAGCTATTATTCCAGGCTTACTCTCTACAGAGAATATTCTTTCTGTTCCTCTCCAGTAGGGGCTAAGAGCAACTAAGAACCCTGGCAGTTTTCACTTTGCCCCTAGGTTATCTCAAGAATCAGGAAACAAAAGTGGTCTGGCTATGCAAGTCCACTTTTTCTTTTTTATTTATTTCTTTGAACAATCTTGTTTTACATACCAGTTCCAGTTCCCTCTCCCATCCATCCTCCCACTTTTCCCCTGCACTCTCCTTATCCAGAGTGTTGATGCCCATGGGAAGTCAGCAAAGTCTGCTACTTCACTTGAGGCAGGACCAAGGTCCTCCCCCTGTATCTAGGCTGATCAAGGTATCCCTCCATAGGGAATAGGCTCCAAAGAGCCAGATCATGCACTGGGGACAAATACTGCTAAGAATCTAAGTAATAGTGGAGAGGATACCTAAAGTGCCCTTCCCCTGTAATCAGACTGATGACTACCTTAATTATTATCACAGAACCTTCATCCAGTAACTGATAGAAACAGATGCAGAGATCCACAGCTAAGTACTGGGTCGAACTTTTGGAGTCCAGTCATAGAGAGGAAGGAGTGTTATTATGAGCAAAGGGGCCAAGACCATGATGGGGAAACCCACAGCTGACTCAAGCTAGTGGGAGCTCACCGATCCTGGACTTACAGCTGGGAAACCATCATAAGACCACACTAGACCCTCTGAATGTGAGTGACAGTTGTGTGGCATGGGCAGTTTGAGGGGTCACTAGCAGAGGAACCAGGATTTATCCCAAGTCCACTTTTTCTTCATCATCAGGACTTGTGATCAAATTACTTCATGTTCATTCTAAAGAAAGAGTTTTGCTCTTGGTGATTATCTGTTAGCTATTACCATTATCTGGCAATTGGCTTCTGGAGGAATAAAGACTATTCTACACCTAAGGAAACGGGACTCAAGTATGACACAATTATGGAATTATGTAATTTAGAACGTCAGAGACAGATGGAAAATTATGCATAAGGTTTTTAAAAGGAAAACTAAATGCCAGTTTAGATATTCACCACTTAATTTGACTTCTAAAGAAAAGCTATTTGTATGACAGACTTTCCCAACACAATGCATCTCCTCGGGATACTTAGGTACCAGAAGCCTTTTGTTTGGTGCAGAAAGATCTACCATAATCATTTGTTTTTCATACTCATGAAATACATCTTTATCAGATTTCAGGCTTATTCAACACTTCTTTATATGAAGAAAATTCTGTTCTTGGCACTTAATACAATGTTCTCAACCGAATTATGGTTATCCATCACTCATGAGAAATGTCAGTATTTGAAAGTCTTTTGATCAATACTAAGTGTAATAATTGTAAATAGAAAGACACAGTCCTTGATACAGCTAAATGGTACTAATATAAAAATCATGTGCATGTTTCAATTGGCAGAAAAATAAAACAGCACGTACTAATCACTTTCCAAAAGTGATTTTTAGGTCAGCTTATTTAAAGTATAAAATAATCGATATAGTAAATCAAAATAGGAAAGAAAATATGAACTAATGACACCAGTTTACTTTCTAGAATAAATGGAAGCTAAAGAGTGACATTCAATGGCCTTTGGAGAGTTACCTTACTGAAAGTTTAAATACACAAAGTATACGGCAGATTTTCAACAGTCAATGAGAAAAATAGTTAGCACCCTCCTTTTCTTGTTAGTATTTAAAGGTAGTATGTCACTCATATTATCAACTGCCTCAACCCTTCCTGCCTCCTTAGACATCTGCAAACTACCAACTGCCAGCAAAATTCTTCCTTTTAATTTTTAGAATACACACACACACACACACACACACACACACACACACACACACACACAAGTGTTTTGCCTGCATGCATTAATGTATATTGCATGCATGTCCAGTGCCCTCAAAATCAGATGAGGGCATCAGATTCCTTAGAACTAGAATTATAGATGGTCGTGACCCACCACGTGGGTGCTGGAAATTAAATCTGTTCTTTGAAAGAGCAGCAAGTGTTC